CACTCTTTAATACATACTATTACATACAATTTTATACTATATCTAAAGTTACTTCTATTATACCTTAAGAATCCCTATTATTATATACTTAGTAATTAACTAGATTACATAAGCTCTATCTATTATACCTATACTATATATAAAGGGTCCCTTAATTAGCCGACACTAAGTAGGCAGCTTAGTATTCTATTAAAATTAGTTCTAATTTTTTTTCTAATTACTTTATAAGTAGTTAAAGCAGTATATATACTATTCTTAGTTAGTAGTATATAGTAGCTACTGCTTTAGTATTAGTAGTAGCAGCTTTATTATATATAGTTTAAACTATAGTATTAATAGTAGTAATAATAGTAGTAGTTAGTAGTATAAAAGTAGAAATAGAAATTACCTTAGAAAGTATTACGCCTTACTATATAAGCTTATATAGTATTTATAATAGTACTTAGCTATTAATATAGTTTAAATACTATTCTATATAAAATAAATATTAATTATTATATAACTAGTTTTAAACTATTCTCTATAGTAACTTATAAGCTAAGTTATTATTTAATTACTTTTTATTATCTTTAAAGTAGTACTTCTTTAAGTTAATTTTATAAAATTAAATATAATAGTTTTAAAGTAATAACTTAATTATATATTACTATATTTATAAGAAATAAATAAGAATTAATTTATATATATATCTAGTTAGTATTATACTTAATTATATAGTATACTATTTACTTTAAAATAGTAGAATAGTTCTCTAGAGAATAAAATTAGCTAGCTATTCTAGAATTATTTTTAAGTTAGTTTTAATTATTACTTTTATTATTTCTACTAAAAAAAACTTATAATATTAAATTTTAACTTAAAGATAAGCTTATTAGTAAGTTACTTCTTTAAGTTTAAGTATTACTAGTATTATAGTAATAACTTATATTTATAAGATATTTTTTTTTAGGCAGTATAAACTAGTTTAGATTACTTAAATAATAAAAATATAATAGCTAGGTATTTACTTTTATATTAATTTATATATTATAAAATAAAATTGTAAAATAATATATATATCTATAGAGAGTATAAGTAAATATATAAGTTTAAGTAAGTATTTTATATAATATTAAAGTTAATAATAATTATAAAATATATATAGTAATTAACTATAATTATAAAGATATATATAGCGCTACAGCAAATCAGCAGAATGCAAATTAGGAAAATTATAGTAGCAGCATTTGCAGATGCAAGCTAATGTGCGACCGTACTGCCCGGATCATGCGCCAGTAGTATGCTGTGTGTGCAGAGACGATTGGTAATTCTCTCAGTCAATCAAAGTGCTCTGGATTCACGGGAAAGGCCATCGAACCCATGAAGCACGCGACGCAAATCCATTTCTTTCCAGGGTCGCTGAAACAACACGCTCAATGTTCCGTCCGCCGGGATGTGCTCGCGCGTCATGTCGTATCTGCACCGAGATGACGGTATAATACATTTGCTCAACCAACCATATCACAGTGGTCAATGGACATTAATGGCGTCTCCAGGGCTGACTTGTACACCTCTCCTCCACGCCGTCGGCAAGAAATAACACTCATCTAATCTAGGGTCCCAAGCTCTAGTGTCCACGTCGTGTACCACATTGTCCAACGAAGCGCGCCAAGCGCGACTGGAATACCATGTGCCATGGTCCATTGTCGACAGTCGAGCCAGCCTCAAGGCACACCAGCGTCGACCAAGTTCCCAGGTGAATAGTCTACTCGTTCTTCGAGGCAAGTGACAGCAGGTCTCTGAAGTTGGACCAAAAAGGAGTCCTGACCGTCGACTTGAACGGCGTGACGGTGGTCTTTTCTAGATCCCAAACTCCGGCTTTGTTGAAGGGATCCTCACGCAACAGCCTCCAAACGTCTTCTAGACTGTCCAGGCTGAGGACCAAAACGCTTCCCACAATGTTCAGAGGATCGCCTGCTTTCTGGGGATGCGCGCCGAGCATCGGACCGGCGAAGATTAATTGGCCTTGCTCACGGATGGGCTTGTAGTTGGCGATGTGGCTGGGCGAACTGGCATAGCGCGTCTTGAGAACGTCAGGACGGTCTTGGATCATGACCAGCCACTCATTGCTGGTGGCAGACATGTTAGTCGACGACGGTGAAGAATTGCGAGTCGATTGCTCGTGATGGAGTCGTTGCTCTTCGGGGCTCTGAGGAGATGGGGCTGTGGCGACAGACAGAAATATAGGCACAAGGCGTGTCTAGTCAACCACCATTTTTATTTGCTCAAGTGGTGGCGGAACCTGTCACAGTTCTACTAGCAGACGAGGTGCAAGCTGTGTACCGCGCCGTCTTGGTTGTAGAGACGCCGGCTCGTTGTCACGTACTCCGGAATACGGGTATAGTCTCACCAAACACACTACCTGCGCATTGCATCTTAGTTTCTCTCTTGGAGCCATGGGAATTGCCACATGGCAGGATGGCTACTCGTATCGCCGACTTGAATGTGCAGAGGTGACAACTCATTACTCTGTGCTGTCCACATACTCCAACGCCGCGAGAGAGCACTCTCGGACTTTTCTGACCACCAAGCCGATGCTCCGCCATTGTGCGAGTATCAAGATATCCACAATAGCTCCGAGCTACTGGCGCCGATATTTCCAAGCATCGGCGTCTAGAAACCGCCTTGATAAGTCGGCCTTTGCCACTCTTGGCCAGAGTTGGGCGGGGATTGCTTGGTCCACTGGCACGATGCATCAACGTTCAGTTTCTCCGAGGCCCCAACTACTCCTCCCGGGATAGGGTCGATTGGAGTTTGGGACCATGGTAGAAAAGGCAAGGTTTCTCCGTAACAGATGGTCATCCATCAATGAATGGACGCGGGTCACTCTCGCTCTCGAGCCCTCAAACTACCTGCTCCCGCTACGTGTTGCCACGATGCCTTTATCGGGGATACCGAATTCCTGCTGTTGGTCGTCCACTTGGATTCTTTCCAGCTCGTCTCATTACATAATGTCAACTGAGACCTGTTCCATCTTGCATTGTCCTCCATCGGACGGCCGGCCGAGACGGATTGATTAGATTGATTAGATTGATAATCATGACGGCGCCTCATCTCGCGCTCCACGCCAAAGCCGGGACACAGATGCATTCTGAAACCAACCAACGATATAGGAGGCCATAGAATGTCGCACCAAGTGCGGGAGATGCAGTGCATGACCCCAAAAGGTAGCTCTGCCGACATTCACAGCGTTCATCAAGCAGGACAGAAGTTCTCGGACCCCAATTTCTTCAAGACCAGCCCGGCAGCTGATGTCGTTTATTCAACAGAGTCATACCGTGGTGCGTCTGAAAAGAAGAGCGTCGGATTCACTACGCGATGCTGAGCCAAGCATTCATAAACATGGCAGGCCGGCCTGCAAGCGATGACAAGACTGCCGTCACATCTTAACTGAAGTGCAAACGGGCCTGTTGGTGGGACACCATGGTGTTTGGAACAAGAACAGCTTCATGAGCCACAAATATAGAAAAAAAGTAAGACAAAATGTAGTAGGCCGCAATGTAGAGCCTGAGTAGAAAATACACGGATAGGCCATGCCATCGATTCATGCCACCAAACACACAAACAAGCCCAGAACGCAGCAGTCATCATGACCCCTGTTCCAATTCTGCTATCGTCTCAAGAAGCCAACTTTCTGCCAAGCACGGATGTAGGATCCCAGCAACGCCTCAGTGACGGGACCCAGATTCCTAAGAGTAGCAGAATGCTCGCATGCCTTGTCGGTTCCTAGAACCATGACACCGCACGACATGTGGACAAAATCGTGCTCGAAAAAGTCGGCCAGCATCGAGGCCGGGTTTTCCCCGTCGGGCCCGTTGTTCCTCTGCGCGTTGATCCGCACCGCCTTTATCCAATCTGCAAAGGGCACGACGTTGTGACGCGGGATGCCGAGAGCCTTTCTCAGCATGCTGATCATCTCGGACCACGATTGCCTGCTGGGGTTGTCGATGTGATAGACAGGGTGAGCTTGCACGGTGTCCGGCAGAGTCAAGATATCTACTGCGGCTCCGGCGACGGCATCGACCGGAGCCCACGCCAGATGTCCGGGGAGGTCGGGGAGAATGCCAAGCGTCTGCGAAGACTTGATGAGAAAAGGCACATGCTCCCTGGTGTTCCAGTATCCCGAGCCAGTAGAGCCAGCTATTTGCCCGGGCCGAACCACGGTGACGCGGAAACGGTCCGGGCACAAGTGTAGAGTTTGGTCGAGCAGCTTCTCGCACACGTGTTTTGCATCGCCGTATCCAATGGGCAGAACGGCGTCGACGGCCACGCGGTCCTCCGGCACCGTCGCCTTTCCTGCGCACACGGGCCAGTGTCCGACTGCTGCCACGGACGAGACGAGCTGGAACGAGACCCGTTCTGTCCGGGAGGCGCTGAGTGAAATGTCTCGGGCCAGGTGAGTCATGTTCCTCATGATGCGGAGCTGTGGTTCAAACCGTTTGAGCGGCCACTTGGTGTTCATCAGCCAGGCATTGTGGACGATGTGCGTGACTGACACGGTCAGGCTGTGGTAATCGGCCTCGGAGAGACCCAACAACGGCCTGGACAAGTCCGTCTCCAACACCCTCAGTTTGTCCAGAGCTTCCCGAGGCAGGTTCAGACCCTTGTCGAGCATGCTTTGCTTCTGGCGCAACGTGCCGTCAAGCTGGCGCTTCTTGTTGAGACACACGACTTGGCTGACGTCCGAACGCAAGGCCGCGTTGGCGACGACATGCGCACCTAGGCTTCCCGTGCCACCACTGATCAAGACGCACTTCTTCTTTCCGTGCCCCTGTCTCGCATTGGTCCGGCTCCCATCACGTCCCTGGCCGCCGCGAGGGGCACCCATATCAAGGGACTCGACGAAGCCTTTGCCGAGGTCTTGGACGTATCCTCTCACAGCCGCGGCTCGCGCTGCGCAGTCAGCTGAAGGGCTCTTGACACACGGCGGAGGAGTTGGTAACGATGCGCACCTGTTATTGAACCTCGACGCCGAAGCGATGATGAGCCTCTCGAGCTTGTTCTCGGGCCGGACGCCGTCCGTCCAGTCGACGATGCCGTACCCAACTGACTGCAGATCTCGTTCCCACCGTCTCTCGTCTTGCACGACGTACTCTCGGCCGTCGTCAAACAGCCACCAGCCTTCGAAAAGCCCAAAGACAAGGTCCATCCACCATACGCGACCCGTCATCTCGACCAAGAGGAGCATGCCGTCCTCTCGAAGCGCTCGGCGCATGTTGCCCGTCGACGTCTTCAGGTTCGGCGTGGCGTGGACTGCGTTGCTCGCAATAATCAGATGCTGCGTGCCCGCCAAGTCCTCCGGGGGCGGGTTGCTTATGTCGTGTTGGCGGAATCTCACAAACGGATAGTCCTTGAACGTTTTGCGTGCGGCAGCCACGAATGAAGGAGCCAAGTCTGTAAAGGTATACTCGACCGGCTGGTTGACCTCGGCGAGGACCGGCAGAAGCAGCCTCGTCGTGCCGCCTGTTCCTGCGCCCATCTCCAGAATCTTGAGAGGGCCCCCGTTTGCGGCCTTGACGTGTTCTGCGAGGCCTCGCACAAAGTCTTGCAGTTGTCCGTAGAGCAACTTGTGCAGTGGCCACTCGGCGTAGAAGCGGGAGACCAAGTCGCGGCCTTGGGAGCAGCCAAAGATGAGCTTGACGCCGTTGGTCTCTCCTCGCAACACGTCGGCCAGGCGGGAACCAGCGTAGTACGTGAGCTCATCGGCGACGCGTTGATCGGGGAACCGGGACAGGAGGCGTTGCAGAATCTCTTGGCTGGATTCCACGGGACACGGCGTGCCCGTTCGAGTGATTCCGTCTTGGCCCACCGTGACGAGCTTGCCTTCCTTGTCCAACATGGCGTACAAGGCATCTACTAACCGTGAATGCTGGGCTGGGTGCGGCACACGGTCGACGGAGGAACCGGCAGGTGAGTCCCGGACACTGCATCCCAGCTCGTCCAGGGCATCGAGGGTCAGCGATATGCAAAGCTCCGTCTGGAGAGGTTCGGCGACGGTTGCGTAGTTCTGCTGCCCGTGCCCCACGATGCGGTCATCGGTCGTCTCCTTGACTGCCTTGAATATCTGCAAGACGGGCTCATGGGGGAGGCTGAGCTCGGCCGGCGTCTCGGGCTCCGACATGGCGGGCGTGCTGACGCCGGTTTGGAACCCAGAACATTCAGAGTTGCTCCGGTCTCCGTATTCACTCGTACTGCTGGATGCGATTTGCTCGGGGCCGCCATCATCACCCCCGGCATCCAGCTCCGATGGCCGTCCCAGAAGCTCGGCAACGGCGTTGAGCAAGCCCGGAAAGTCGGCAATTTCCGTCAGCGTAGCCTCGGGAATGTTGATCTTGAAAGCAGAATCCACCTCATGAGCCAGCTCCATGCCCAGCAACGAGTCGATGCCAACATCTGCCAGCGCACTGTCTGCGTGGATCTCGCCTTCGTCGACGCCCGAGAGCTCAGATATGATTTTCCTGAGCCGTGAAGAGATGGTCGATGCTCCAGAAGTATCAGGGGCCTTGACAGAAGAGTCAACGCATGCTTGAGCCCTGCTCGGCCGTGCCACGGCGTGTATTTGTGTTTCGTCAGCGGTGTCGAGGCTCGTCGCTGCACCAGGATTCGAGGCCGTGGAGAGTTGCTCTGCCGCGGCCAGACCAGGCGTCAATCTCGCGAGGACTTTACTCATAGACGCTCTCGAGACCTTGACGTAGCTTATCCCAGTAATGACCTCGACCAGATGGTTCGTGTTGGCATCAAAGGCAAAAATGTCAGACAGGATCGCCTTTTCCGACGGGAAGTGGTGTACGGCGAGCACATGGAGAGACGCAGGACGTCTACAGCAGTCGTCCTTGCCACCAGATCGGCTTGGGCTGCGAAGCCAGTGTTGCATGCCGTTGCAAACGTACATGTCGGCCGAGCTGCAGTCTGTCATGCAGTTTGCCCAGATACCCGCGACCTGGCAAAGACAGTCGGCTAGACGAGCATCCAACCACGTCGTGGCATCATGTTGACGGACGACCAGCGCGGCACACTGATTGCCGCGGCTCACGAGTTTCCGGACGCCGCGATAATCCTCGGTGTAGCTGACAGTGTCGGCGAATATCTTGTAGATGCTCTTGTTGAGAAGCACCTCATCCACGTCTCCGCTGTTTAACAACTCAAGACAACGTTGGCTTCCGACGAGACGCTCGAGTCGGGAAAACTCCAACTCGGCCGCTGAGTCGTCGGCCGGGACGAATCTCAGCGTGCCGGTGGTGTGTACCGACGAGCCTTTTTCAGCAGCCCTTGACGACGCCTCCGTGCTCACGATGCTGAACGTCCACAGGTCGTCGGAGCCCTTCTTGAAATCCACCCACAGACCACGGCTGGCATCCACGCACACGGGCAACTGACATTGGATGTTGAGCAGCTGCGGTTGCCGCTCCTCGGATGCCAGGGGCTCGTCCAGGCTGCGGATAGCCTCAATCACAACGTCGAGCTGCACGGTGGCGGGGCAGATCGCTGCTGTTTCTGCAAAGATGTGTCCCGAAACCAACCTCTTGTACTTGCTCGACGAGGTGTTGATGCGGAATCTTACCGCTTGCTTTTTGTCGTCTGTGTAGCCAGCAAACCGGAAGAGGCAGTCCTCGTCCTCGTCCTCGTCCGGCCCGTGGCTCTGGGAAGCCTCCGGGGCAGCTTTCTGGGGCGTCTTCAGCTCCATCCAGTGCTTGGCTTGCTCAAACTGGTACGGCGGTAGAAGAAGCGACTCGTGGGACAGAAGGTGACAGCCGTGATGGGACCAGAAGGCCGCATCGACGCCCTCCTTCCAGAGGCTCAGTGTGCAGTCAACCAGGTTATTCCATGCTGTGCCCGGCTCACCAGTGATGCTCAGGCCCTGGAAGTGCAAACCTTCATTGCTGCCCAGAGCCCGCCCTGCCATGTGCGTGACTGTAGAGTTTGACCCGGCTTCCAGGAAAACGCAGGATGGGTGTCTCTTCGTGATCCTCCTCAGCGCGCGATCGAAGAAGACGGGGGACCGCAGATGCTCGGCGAAGAAGTTCACCGTCACTTGCTCCAACGGCTGCTCGGAGGCATGTTCCACGCGAATTGCGGGCTTTCGAAAACAAAGACCGAGTCCACACTCTCGCAGCTGAGCGTCGATGTTGTCAACAAGGCTACAGTGGAACGAGTTTGTCACGTTGAGCCTCTTGCACCGGATGGTCTTTGGGGGCTCGGCCTCGACGACTTCTGCCACGGCGTCGACGGCCTCGACCGATCCAGCCAGGGTGAAGCTTCTGGATCCGTTGTAGCAGGCGATGGATGCCGGATCTGAGCCGGTCGATGCGGGAGACGCGGCCGCCCTTCGAAGCACGTCCTGGACCGTTTCCAAATCAGCTTCCACTGCCATCATGGCGCCCTTCTCGGGACCCCAACAGTCTCGCACCAGAGTGGCTCTCCTCATCACAGCCTTGAGGCAGTCTTCCAGCGTCAAAATGCCGGACACGCACAGCGCTGTGAGCTCGCCGAAGCTGTGTCCAACAAGCGCGACGGGTTCCAGCCCAGAATCGATCCAGCACCTGGCGCTTGCATACTGCATCGCGAAGAGTACCGTCTGCAGTTTCACCGTATCCTTGATCGGTTCGCGTTGGAAGATGTCGGGCAGTATGCTCCCTGCGCCCAGTCTCTCTGCAGCGGCATCCACGGCACCAAGGTGCTGGCGAAGAAGCTTCACTCTGCCATATAATTCCCTGTCCAGCCCAACAAAGGTCGATACCTGGCCGCCAAAGCAGAACACCACCGGCCGTTTTGACCTTGTCGCGCTTGATGAGGAGCCGTCTTTGTTTCCGGCAACCGAGCTCAACGCCTGCGATAATTCACCAAGTGACTCGACGCTGAATATTAAACTTCGCGGAAGGGACCGATTTGTCTTGCGAGCCAAGTTGAAGGACATGTCGCCCAAAGTGAAGTCGGCCGTTGAGCCTTTTCGATGGTTGATGTATTTCACCAGCGCTGCTGCATACCGACTGATGCTAGAGCCATCCAATCCACAAAGCCAGAATGGATATCTGCTGCCGCTCGACTCATGCCGTGCAGCCCTGGGAAGCTTCGCAGGACCTTGGGTCAGCACCACGGAGGCGTTGGAACCTGATGCGCCGTAGTTGTTGATGAGGGCAGCCTTGAAGCTGGCGTCCCAGGGCTTGAGGGACGTGGGAATGACGATTTTGTCACAAGCTTGGGCGTTGACGTTGGGGTTGATGGTCTTGAAGCTTGCCTGAGGCGGTATGAGCCCTTTGTTCATCATCAGAAGCACCTTTATCAGCGACAATACTCCGGAGGTGGGCTCTGTGTGCCCAACGCATCCCTTTACAGATCCTAGAGCCAGAGAATTGCTCCTGTTGGCGCCTCCGAGAGCTTGCCGAACGCCCTCATATTCCGCTGGATCTCCAACAGCGGTTCCAGTACCGTGAGCTTCCACTACAGTGATTGCCTCTGGCTCCAGCTTTGCCCTGGCAGACACGTCTCTGAATAGCCCGGAAAGGGAGGGTGAGTTTGGCACGAAGATGGGTGTGCAGTTTCGATTCTGCCGCACGCGCGTGGCTGCAATGACTCCGAGGACCTCATCTCCGTCAGCAACAGCGGCCGAAAGTTTCTTGAGAAAGATTGCCGCGACGCCGTCGCCCCTGCAGTACCCATCGGCCTTGGAGTCAAAGGGCTTGCATTGCCCAGTCGTGCTCAGGAAAGAAGCGCCGGCCAAGTTCTGGAAGCGATGCGGACTCGTCATGACATGCGTGCCCCCAGCCAGGGCCGCACGACACTCGCCGCTCAGAATCGCCTGGCATGCTTGATGAATAGCGACGGCGGACGAAGAGCATGCCGTATCGACGACGAGTGCTGGTCCCGTCCAGCCGAAGTAGTGGCTGACCTTGCCCGCGGCGAAGCCTTCCAAGTTGCCGGTTGCACAGAAGGCGTTTGGCGCATGGCAGGCAATGTTGTTCTCGTAGTCAGTTCCGCAGAGACCGATGTAGCAACCGACCTCCCGGGAGCTCTCGCTGCCGTTGCCTCTGAAGTATCCGGACTGTTCAACAGCCTGGTACGCCACTTGAAGGAGTTGTCGTTGCTGCGGATCTGTCGTCGCGGCTTCGCGGGGACTGATTTTGAAGAACTTGTTGTCGAACGCGTCGTGCCCGCGTATGAAGTTCCCAAACCATTTCCTCTTTGGATCAGCGTCTCTGAAAGCAGTCTCAAATGTGAACCTGTCTGGCGGAACTTCCTCGTGCTGCGATTCACCAGAGGAGAGCACTTCCCAGAACTCCTCCAAATCATCGGCCCCAGCTACCTTGCACGACATTCCCACGACGGCAATGTCCGTATCCGGATATACGCCTTCGGGCCTGCCTTGGCGCATATTTGTGCTGTGCGTGTCTTTCGAGCCCGAAACATGAATGCAGCGCGAGCCTAATGACGGCGACAGAGAGGGCGGTAATGGTCGTTCCGGTCCAAAAGCTACCATGTAGACCGTTGCATCTCGTGAGAGCACCTCTACTTCCAACCTCTTCAACGTCCTGTGCCAGTTTGGCGGTTCCAAAAGGATCGACCTCAGAACGTGATGATGAAGCGGACCAGATGTAAAATACTGGCCTCCGGAATCGGATCGTGATTTCATCCCAAGGTCCGAACAGTCGCAGAATTGAAACTCGGGGCGCTCGTTGCAAAGTTCAGCAAGGGCCTTGAATGCTTCTGCGTGCTCTTGGGAATGATATCTGCCGCGCAAGCCTATTTCGGAAGCTGGTAGCCCTGCTGATCTCATATATTGCTGGACCTGGGCCATCGCCGCCGCCGACGTGGTCACCGTGGCGCGGTTGTAGTCGTATTTGACTGAGATGTATGTCTGCCATTGTCAGCACTCTCCCTGTTGCACGGCCAGACTTCCTGGGTCCGTCCCCGGACAAGAGAGGAAGAACCTACGTCGTCTCGGCTGTCTATGAACCTGCGAAGATCGCTCAACTTGGACTCGGAAGTCCACTCCGTTCCGAGACACCTCGTCTGCTGTGCCATCCGAGCCGATCCCGTGGCATCCATGTCGGCAATCGCACCAATTGCAACGGCGAGGCGGACTGCTGATGCCGCATACCTCTCGAAATCCGCGGAAGACTTGGAACTAGACGCCACCGCCGCGCTCAGTAGCCCTGTGCAAAATCCCAGCGTCTCACCGTTACTGGCCGCTCGTGATATCCAATCTACTGTGTTGTCTTGACCAGCGTAGACATTCTTGTTGAAGTTCATATACTGAATAAGTTGGTCGACGGTTGCCAACGGGACAAGGAGCTTGTTTGGCAGCGGGTAGGGCGTCATCAGCCCGACTCCCGCGTTGAAAGCGTCCTTGACGTCAACAAGTTGCCTGTAACCATTGACAAGTCGGTCTCCAGGAACGCCAAGAGCTGTAGCAACGGCTTGCCATGCGTCTGGCAGGTCTGAAATGACATCTAGAATCCACGAAAGTCTATCGTCACCGCTGATAGCATTTTGGATTCGACGAAACTCTGAATGATCGAACGACAAGGGCAAGGATCCAAAGAGGAACACTCTCGGCGCCCCATTCGCGCGGGTGTATCCCGGATGGAAATGCATTGAGGGTAGCAACCAGGTTCTCAAGGACCAGAATGTCTAGGTGGGCGGAGATGTGTGACGGTCGAAGTTGAATCGTTTCGGCACTTGTATCTCGATTAGCCGCCTCAATCTTGGTAAGAAGGACCCAAGAGTTGGACCATGTTTGCGGTGCAAGAAGTCGCAACACCACACACCGCGAGCGGCTACTCATATACGACGTGCCCATCTGATGGGGAAGATCATGCAACACCCAAGTACCGGGGGCCTCCTTGACGAACCAAAACTCCATGCGCTTGGCGTAATCACGCACGGGGAATAGTAATCAACGGTCTCTTGGGAAAACTGGCCACTCCGGGCCTAATGAACAAGGAATCGCCAGGGTTGTCAGACGGGGCATGGGATTGAGACGGACTATTCGCACTCGGTACAACAGCGTACCAATGGCCAAAGGCCCTGACAAGAATATGGATTGCTGAATACGACTAATGTCGCGGCCAGCAATATGTAAACGGGTCAACGTTGCAAAACCAGTCCCGCCGAGGCTGACCAGGGAGCCGTGTGCTCGGGGTCGGCGTGCTGTAGAAACTCCGACGCGGAAGCAAATAACACAATACGTACGCTCCTCTCTAGCCGAATAATTGGATCGAGGCTAGTACCTTGTCTTTGTTTCGACAACTGCCGGGTCCCGTTACTGACTCCGACGGGTCCTCCGTCTTGTCACGCCGGGCTGTTCCGCGACAAAGCTCATGCACGGATACCAGACAAACCAAGATATCCCGAGGAGAGGAGCTCGTTGGATTCGCTGCAAGTCTGTGGCACCTTCCTCTCGGACTAACCAATTCTTGAGAAGAGTTTGCCATGCCAGAACCAGGCAGCCGGCCTCGACTACGCAGAATAAAGACACGCGTAATGGCCGTGCAGGCGTGATGGTGGTTGGCTTCCGTACCGACATTTCTCCACGAATCTCTGCACTCAGACGTGTCACAAGTCCTCCGGATGTCTCAATCAGTAGGGGATGACAGCGCTCTTGAGGTTGCAATTGTAGGATGCGGCATCATAGGTCTCATCACCGCTGCAGGTCTTGCGAGGCGCCGGATCAAGGTCAAGGTTTTCGAGCAGGGACAAGGGCTGCGAGGGCTGGGAACCGGGATCGCATTCAATCCCTCTGCCCAGACATGTTTGGAGATGATCGACCCGGAAGTGACCATGGCCTTCAGGATGGGCGGCGCCGTAGGCCTTTCCGCTGCCAACGAGGATGATCCTCACGACTATCTCCGATGGATCGATGGTTGCAACCAACGAGACGAAAACGATCCCTTTTATCAGAAGATGTACCTGAAAATAAATGCAGGATATCGAGGGATCCAAGGCATCCGCAGAGACCACCTTATCGAACATCTGATCCGAGTCTTGCCACCCGGCACCGTGGTCTTCAAGAAGCGCCTGGAGGATGTCCTCGAGCGCGGCGACGACGAAAAGATTGCCCTCAAGTTCGCAGACGGCACCGTAGCCGAAGCCGACGCGGGTGAGTAGACGGCTATCCATGAATGCATCCGTGGCGGGAACCGTCTGACCTGAAGACAGTAATTGGCTGCGATGGCATCAAATCCAGGACGAGAGACATGGTCATGGGCCACGAAAGCACCGCCGGCAAGCCGACGTATACCCACGTCAACTCGCACCCTACGGTTATCCCCATGGAGAAGGCCGTCTCAGTGCTGGGAGAGCAGAAGGCGAGGGCGTTCCACAATCACTTGGGCCCCCGTGCCAATATCCTTCATTACCCCGTGGCGCATGGTACCATGTGTAATGTGACTGTCTTTGTTCGCAATGACGAGGAATGGCCGCAAGACAAGCCAACGGCCTTCATCGGACAACGTGCTGATATTGAGCATCGGTTCAGCGGCTGGAACCCAGCCATTCGAGCTCTCATAAGCCTCCTGCCAGAGTCGTTCCCTTCATGGGCAGTCTTCGACTTGTGGGAGTACCCCCTCCCGTTCTACAACAAGGGCAGAATATGTGTTGCCGGAGACGCAGCACATGCTAGCAGTCCGCATCATGGTGCTGGCGCTGGCATGGGCGTGGAAGATGCACTTTGCCTTTCAGTCCTCCTGGCTGACGCCTCCATGAAGCTCCGAACCGGAAAGTTGTCAAAGCACCAGCTCCTGTCGTCGGCATTTGCCGTGTATAGTGACGCCAGGAGAGCCCGCAGCCAGTGGCTTGTCAACAGCAGTCGTCGGGTCTGTGACTTGAACCAACAAACAGGCTGGGCAGACCCGGCAAAGTGGCTCAAGGCGGAATCGACATTGGAGGAAGTCAAAGACCAGGTACATAAGATCTGGAGTTTCGACCCTCGCCGGATGGTCACGGACGCCATTGAGAGCTACGGCATGGCCATCAGTCGCCTCGAGAGAAAATCATGTACCGCCAGAGGCGATGTCCAGCCAGAAAATCTCCCCAACGCAGGCGCTGTCGAGCAAATCCTGACGGCAAAGGTATTTGGGAATGGGCTCGGCGACTACTCGAAAGCCGTCTCGATCGAGCGGCTCACCGAAGTACTTTCCGAGCCCGAATAAGACTAGGCTACCAATCTCGTGGTTTCTGAATCGGCTTCATGCCGTGGGACAATGCTCTAGTTGTGGGGGGCTACATGAAGCATGACTTGCGGTGTAATCAGTTGGATGACGCGGACCGGTAGTTGGTCTGCAAATGAAGTTGGGTGAATACAATTTCATCTCTACCGCCAGTCGATATTGTAGCTCTCAAGAGCAACCCCATGAGACGACGACGTTGGGCTGTCTGTCTTGTCAATCACATCAAGAACAATGCCTTCGTCCTGTTCTTTGGCTTCTCCTACCGACCAAGTCATCAAGATCTTGGTGTGATTCAGGGCCGCACATTTACAGGGCACACAGTAAATCTCGGCATGTCAGGATATACTACAAGACCACAGTGCATACTTTTCCCTCCATCTTGAATATCTAGGTACGCTGAACCCCCCATCCTCGAATCTCCCCTATTTGAGCATCTCGCCCGTTTTCCCCAGAGTATCAATAAGTCTTTGGCGTATGTGTTCGCCAATCACAACCTCGCTGCCGGAGCCGTCCAACGCCTTTGCCCTCAGCTTGAGGTTACCGTTGAGGAAGAAGGCGACGCTATAGCGATGATGTCGAGAGTTTGTCACAACCCTGTGGCGCGCGCTGCGGTAGTAGCCGCCCGTCCACTTCTGCATCATGTCGCTCATGTTGATGACATAGGCTCCCTCCTTTGGCGGAACCGGGATCCAGCTCTCGGTAGGGGGATACCACACCTCGAGCCCCTTGCTCCCCGTCTCTTGCAGAAGAATCGTAATGCAACCAAAGTCCGTGTGGTCGGCGACTGCATCATGGTCGAGTCAGTATTTCCCGCACTCTGGCGCGTTGTCTACGCGAACCTTCTCACCTCCAAATTGCGTATCGTGGAGAACTTGCTGGGGCGCATAATGAAGCATCCTCATGGGAATAGAGGGATTGTCCGCAAGCTTCTCGAGCACGCTTGGCGGGTGACCCCATTCCTTGGGCAAGCCTCTGCCGAGGATTCTCAAAAAAACCTTGGCCAGATTCACCATCTTAGCCTGGTATTCCATGACGGGCTTGCGGAACTGGTCCTCGGGCAGCTTGGACGGCCACAGGTTGGGGCCGGTGGAAAAAGAACCAGCGTCAGGATGGTCGGCTGGAATTTCTGCCCCAACCATGAAAGTCTAGATGGTGGGCGGTTATAGAAGTCGTTAGCCCGGGACAAACAGCAAAGCCCAGAAGCCCAGCAAGCATGGCTGTAGAGGCGTGCAAAGCTTCAGGGCGGAGCTCGATCCACTGACTTCTTTAATATCTGGCATCAAGCCTTTATGGTGAGTCTGGATGAGAGGCGGCTCGTAGCCCCGGAGAGATTTGCCCATGGACTTGGAGACGCAAACCTCCATCCTGTCCTCTTCTGGGAGGGCGAAGAATCGTCTGGTGCAATCTAGAATGTCTCTCTGCTCCTCGACACCGAGTCCATGGCCAACGGCTTGGAAAAACCCATAGGTTGTACAAGCATGGCGGACATTGTCGACAACGGCCTGTTTCTGCGTTTCACTCGATGTCGGTGAGATGAAATCGCTGATATCAATGGTGGGGATAGCCTCAGGTGTGCTACTGCCCATCTTGATAAGAGCAATTTGGCTTTTCGAGATGGATAGGAAGAGAAGACGGTTCACAATGCGGCGAGCCGTATGGGGTGGCGACGACCCCTTTGCGAACGGTGTAAGGAGTTGCTCTAGCTTGATATAGGACGCAGGAAGTGTATAGTTACTAGCTTCGAGCCTATTGTAGGTGGCTCATATCAGGATTTTGTGTCCCATAACATGCAGCAGTGTGTAAAGAGTTTTGTAAACTTCCTCCATGGCGTCTTGACTTGGAGGTCCGTCTGCTTGACGGACATGGCGACGAAATCCGACCTCGCTGCCAATTCCAGCCAAGGTGTCAGCAAGATACTCCGCATCTGGGCGCGAAACAGCGAGGATTCATCGGGTCAAACGGCATTTGACCTTATTAGACATGGAGTTTTCCGTTGACAAATCTTGGAAAAGGCGTGGCCCGTCTCGGAATATCCACTGGCCGCTCAACTTTCTCCGGCTGGAACGACGCGAAGCACGAGCAGTCAACAGGCACGCCGTGTGCCGGATTCAACTGCAGTCTGAGCCAATGGGACAGCACCTACGGCCCGGGGGAGCATCTCTCCGGGTAGTTACGGACCGCTTTTGCTGTATCACACGTGCCGGATCGAGACGAGGTCTGCATTTTGCTGGGTCTTGTCGGGCCTCAGCCATGAGACAAGTTGTAAGGAAACCGTCTCTCACGTACCACAACATAGAACATTACAGTTACACTGCACAGTATACCAACGAAGTTTGTCAGGGCTTGCATGCCTACAACTCTTCATAACAACATGATGCCGTACGTAGCCACACGAGGTTACATCAAATGCAGTTCCCAGACCAGGAGCGGTTGATGGCAAGACGACAGATAAAAGGACAAAGAAACATGACCGCGTTCATCCTCGTGACTGCTCTCACTGCACGTTGTTTCTGCCCAGCAGCCTTCTGAAGAATGTAAAAGATCTATTTCAAACGCGCTGCGTTGTCTGCACCGTCCCGTTCTGCTTCCAGGTCGACAGCTCACAAACAACCACCTATTGGCTCAGTGCGGCAGCCGCCGTCCCATTGTCGATTGCGTTCATCAGCGGCAGAATGTGAGTCAGATCCAGAAGCATAATGTAATTCTGCTTTGGATTCGTGACACTCTTCAGCTGACCCAGTGCGTCAAGGAGCTGACGCAACAGCGCAGCAGCCCGAGATAGCCGTCGGTTGGCAAACAAAAACTCGACGCAGAGAAGTATTGGAATTGACATGAGGGGATGGACCTGTATTTCCACTCCTTTAGCGGCGGCCCGGCATGGGCCAAAGGACGAAATCTCTTACCTTGAAGACGCCAAAGTCCACGAGCGCATACGCAAGGTTGACCATGTGCTCGGCGGCATTCAACGCTCGTTGCTGATACTCTGGTTGAAGGCATCTTGCTTTCCCGTTTGGCCAGACCATAGATTTGACTTCCTTGCAGAGGTATATGACCGACACCTGCGCGATGGCGTGCGCGAAAAGAAGCATGGGGTCGTACCCGTTCGTGGGGGAAGGATAACGCTTGGACAAAAGCTGGAGCCTTGCCAGCAGGACATTGTCAAACCAAGGGTCCCAGTCTGACCATTCTGTCTCGCTGTCACCGTGCAAGCAGCGTATGTTGTATTGCTGGTTATGGGACAGCGTTCGTCCGCACATGGTTGCCAAGATGATGCACTCGTTGAAAGGGGAGCGCGTCGTTGGATGTTGGTCTACTATGGCGTCTGATAAGAAATCCATTACGCTGCTCTGGCCATTTTGAAAATCGCATTCTTGGGCGGGCAAGCGCGTGCAGATCTGTTGGTTCAGAGGTAACATCATCCATCAGACTTGCAGCACCAAGCTTGGCGGTTGAGAGGACTCACCACGTGCTCGCTCAGTCGAGTCGGCGAGTTATTCTTCATGCTGAGCAGGTGATCGACAAAGTACGCCATCCAAAACACTCGTCGCTTCTCTTCTGTCGCCGCGGGATCGTTGTCGGCACCGGAAGATGGGTTTGTCGGGCTGTCGACTTCATGCAGCCTCATCAGTTGCACCAGGCGGAAGGCGTGTCCGGCGCTCATCCAGGCGTGTTGATTGTACGTCCTCATTGACTCGTAGGTAGCAATCAGTACCCAGGCCTGCGCCAGCTCGATTTCCAGAGCAGTAGCTTGGGTCCCGTTGGACGGGTTCGATGACTCGAGCATCTGTCTGGCTTCCTGGTAGAAGACTTCCTGCAGGTGCTGAAATTGACCAGATAACAGGGATGACAATGTCCACATGGCGTATTGCAAGGCCAGCTTTGCTGTCGACTTTGTGTGCTGCTTGGACCAGCCGTGATAACGTCTTTGATGCAGGATTGGTGTCGAAGGATGAACACGATCAAAGTAGAGCTGGTCGCTGCAATCGACTCCCCCTGCTGTCAGCGGCCAGCCTCTTCAAGGGGGTTCTTTGGCAAGAGAGAGGTTCCCTTACAGCTCTGCTTGTGTGAAGTCACAAACAGGAACACTGCTGACTGTCAGACACGTTGTGGGCGGCGTGGGCGGCGGCTCAGGTATCAGGTTTAGATTGTGCAGAGTCCCGAGGTCCAAAAGAGGACTCGTCAAAGCCATTTCAGACTCGGAGACTGCGGGCTCCATGATTGAAAACATGTCCTGGACGGAATCTACGTTCCCCCCGGGTATCGAGCTCGGTATCGGAGCCAGTGGCGATGGCAAGACGTCGCCAGAGCTGATGCCGGTCTCACTTGTGCCCAGATCCTGGGACTGCGCAGCGAGTCTGCTTTCAAGCATAGCTGTGAAGTATTATTATATCATATTCCATCGAGGCATGGCCACGGAGGCCGCAATGGCCAAATTGAACGTACAAACTCGATTCCGTAGATTCTTCAGATATCCCCTTTTTGGGCCTCGAGCTGCCCGAACGGGGTTTACTTGGCATACCACGCCGGTCTCTTTACAGACGCGGCATTGCGGTTGCTGTCCGTCGCAACGGAGCTTGCGCCGTCGGCATTCTTCGCAGGCTGGCTTCTGACGACTCCGGCCCGATGGCAGGGTTTCCGACAAAGTCGACTGCTCGACTTCTTCTGGCGTCTGCATGTTCCGGGAGATGAGCAGCAGGTAATTTCGCTTTGGGAAGTTGATATAGAACTGCTAGATGACACACACACACGACCGTGGATCCAGGGTGGTATTATCTTTGAGGGCAGCTGCCCGAGCCAAACCATGTATCAGGGATCGAAGTAGTCTAAGGCTGCACGAGTCCGTGGCTGTTGTAGCTATAGCGAGAATCGTTTCGGGGAAGATGCGACTAAGGAGCAGAGAGGGTTTACTGGTACAGCTTCCAAGACGAATTGGCCGCGTAGCAATAAGCATCAACAGCACATTTGATTTACCTGTCCTCACAACGGCTGTAGAACGTGCTGTGCTGTGCTGTGCTGGTGGGACTTGGGTCTCTTGCCAGAGTGACGCGGATATCCCGTCCAGTTCGAATGTCCAACTGCTGGCTGGGAAGACTGGCACCTGGCACTGTCAAAAGAAACGACATGGACCGCGTGAGTTCAACGAAGAACGAGAGGGCTGTTGGTGTTGCGTGCCTGATGCTACCGGGCCCTCGTGTCGGCACCGAGCCTGCTCATCCATGAACCGAGTCTTTGTTTCATCAGTTTGATCCGATAAATTCCACTCGACCCCCCCGAGGAAGCAGGATTGCGGAGTCAATATCTGTCGCACTGAAAGAAACGAAGCTCATGTTCCAGACCAATAGATCCACAGCCATGGCCTTGTCTGCAAAGTCGTCAAAGCGGGCACGGCAGGGCAGGCAACAACATCAGGGTGAGATGATGAGATTTTGGCGCGGATCCTATGATCGAGCTCGGCCGTAGGCGTACATCGACCAGTCCTTCGGAGCTTCGCATGCGACTAGCAGTCGACAAGAGTCAAGTGTTTCTCTCTTGGCGCGAAGAGAGCGGTTGCAGACTTTTCCAAGACGACGTCAGACTGTCTATCGACTACCGACGGGGTTCTCCCAAAGACCGAGTCGGGACCCGAAGTGGGAGGCCCCAGGGCCCAGGGTTCTTTTGCACAATGTGCCTGGTCATACGCAACACTGCCAGGTAGCGTTGCATCCCCGTTGCAGAGTTGGAGCAGGTTCATCTAATCTCCCCTCGTGTTCTAAACTACAGAGAAAAGAACGTAGAAGCTATCTGACGTCCGCAGTACTGGTTGATAACGTTTGATAAAGCTCCAGCTCTACTCCTCCACGACCGCAAGACCAGCTTGCTCACGAAGCTCGCGTGGCAGAACAAAGGCTTGGGCAACTGAAAGCGGTTCGCGATGTCACATTGCAACAACAGACCGTTTTCCATTACGCCATCTTTCTCGCCTGCCCTCCACAGCGTCGTAATCGTAGTTGGGCACTTCCCCTCGGACGCCCTGCGCTGTGACGCCGCTATGGGGACATCAACTTACACATGCTTTCTTGAGCGGAACCCGTCGAATATGGAACCCACCGCCTGATCCTTGCTGGGCAAGCATGGCATGCCATTGATGCATGGAGGAAATCTTATCAATCAGGCGGAATTTGATCAGCGATCCCCACCTTGGAGGTCATGGTCTCTTCACACTTTGCACCTTCATTCTCGGCGGGATGGCTGGGCCCCAAGTGCGTTAACGAGCACAATCCAAGCCGGCATCACCATCTTGGATTCATCTGGATGTGGTCGTGTGCAGGTAGGATCCGTCGAGTCCAGAGACAACCATACACCAACCAACACCATCGGTAGCCGAGTTACGGCTCACTCGACCAAACAAGCCTGGCTCAAGAAGCGTCATCAACTTATGCCTGTTCCATCGCCATCATCAGCCTCGTCTGCTCGAACCGTCCCTAAAGGGCGCCAGGCGCGCGCCCCCCCTTCCCCTTCCTCCGGGGCAGGACTACGTACAGTACACATGTTCAAACGGGCCAAATGGCGTCAGCTCAAACCTCGCTCTTCTACCATCCCTGACCAGGCACCTAACCCTAACCCTAGCGAGTGGGAAGGTCAAATCGCCCAGCCATGGACAAGGGGTAGACGTCGGGTAACAATGCCCGCGTCATCCACTCCTCGCTTCCCGACATGGATGATCACTCAAAGACACGGGCACAGCACTTCCCGTCCGCAGCCGGGTGGGTATGGGTGGGCTCACGGTGATGCTTCCGTTGGTCCCTGTGCTTTGCTGGGTCGCTGGCAGGCGAGGCGAGATGGCAAGTGATGATTTCAAGCCTAGGTCCTAGTTTTTCATTTACAGAAACTCGTCGGGTTTGCCGATGTGGCCTGAAGACAATGATGCGGCCGCGGCATCGGCGATTTGCAAAGGATGATTCCAGTCGTCTAACTTCCTGAGACGCGTGTTCGCTTCTTGTCGCAAACCTCTCCTGTCATAAATTGTAAAACCGTCCCGGCAGTTCTCACGGCCCCTTGACTCAGGCTATATCCTCTCCAAGTCGGCTTGTCGACTACTCTGGATATCGTGTGAGCCTTGGAGTCAAAAACATGGAAAATGGTCCACCCCCATGTCGGCCGAACTGCCGGAACTCCTCCGAGGAGCCAGGACTCAGGACAAGCGTTCCACACCACCTTGGAGTCTTCCGAGGGCAAGCGGCTGCTGCCAAGCTGCTTGCCACCGTCCGGCCGTCGCTTCATGCGCCTCGGAGAAACTAAGAGGGACCCATGCGTCAGAATGTAACGGCCGCAGCCCTTACCATATGACCTAACTAAGCAGTCACGTCTAACCGTGTCGGTTAAAGGGACGTGGACAAATACAGGCGTCGAGCCAATTTCAACACCGGCAGAATCAAGGAGATCCAAGATAGCGACGCGGGCGTAGTTATCTGATCCTGATCCCGGTCCGGAATAAGCCCTCGGTGACAAAGTGTGCCGCGACGTTTTTGTGGCCGGATCAGTGATGGCTCGGATCTACTCCCTCTTGTTGTCCTAGCTCGTACAATTTGTTGTTTACCAAAGATGAATCTATAAGCGACTGACACGGGAGAAACCCGCTTTTTATAAAAAAAAAAAAATAGGGAGACCATCTGAAATATCAATAGAACCACATCTATTCCGAAATGCCCTGGCTCAATCCTGGTTTGCGCATCTCCAGTGTGCAGAGTCCAGGCCTGATGTATCAAGAGCAACTCATCAGCCAACAAACAGCTCAACTTCCAAATTCCGTCATCGTGGGCCACCAGCCAAAGGCACAATGCCCGAGCTGCTCGATGAAGTGCCCCTCTGGATCATCCTCAGAGCCTTGTTTTGCCTACCACTCGCGGGATTCCTGCTGCAAAGATGGCATGTATGGTGGCGACTGCGGCACATCCCGGGGCCCGTGTCTGCCATCGTGTCCGACGTGGCGAGGGTGAGATGGGTTCACGCAAAGACGGCGCATCTTAAACACCAAAACCTGCACGAGCAATACGGGGATGTCGTCCGCATGGGGCCGAACATGGTATCTATCGGCAACCCCAGTGCTGTTCCTCAACTGTATCCCATGCGGCGAGGATTTCTCAAGGCAAGAAGAAGGGGCAAATCGCCGGCTTGACCAAGACGAAGGAAGACAAGAGAGTGGTTGTAGCTGACCCAAGTGCGCCGTAGGGCAACTTTTATCTACCGCTTCGCCCGTATTCGAGAGCCGGCGGTGCTCTGCCCGCAATCTTTACCTGCCTAGACGAAGAGATGCACTCCAACCTCAAAAAGCCAGTCGCCCAAATCTTCTCCCTGTCCAATGTCGTCACCTTTGAAAGTCTGGTGGATGACGTGCTTCACGTCGTTGCCAAGCAGTTCGACGGGCGATTTTGCGCAAACGACGAGATATTCGACCTCAGTGAATGGCTGCAGTTCTTTGCATTCGACGTCATGGGCACCCTGACGTTTAACAAGCGCTATGGGTTTCTGGAGGAGGGAAAGGATGTCGGCGGAAAGCTCGACGCAGTTTGGCTTTTCATGAAACAAGCCGCGCCGGTATGCATCCTTGTTCACAACTTCACAACTGTCCCGGTCCCTTCCACAAGCCCGCTAACGTCAAATAAAGATGATGCAAGTTCCGTGGCTAGACAAGATATTGTACAAAAATCGGGTTGTCGACTCGCTACGACAGACCCCCGGAAACTCTCTGTTAGGGTTTGTTGGCGACACAATTCGAGAACGTCAAAGTCGTTTGAAAGCCGAAGCCAAGGAACATGCCGAGCTTCAGAATGAGAGGCGGGACTTCCTGGACCGATATATCGAGATCCAACGGCGTGGTGATAACATCCCGGCTTGGTAAGGCCTTCAGACTTGTTCCCAGACTCCAACATCTCGGTAACAAAACTTGCGTCGTTGACACTCCGGCATCCAACAGGGCTGTGACTTCTTGGACCTTCTCAAACGTGATTGCAGGCTCGGATTCGGTCGGTACGGTTATGCAGACCGTAATGTACAACTTGCTCAAACGACCGTACACGCTCAAAAAGTTGGTTCGAGAGCTTGACGAGGCCGGCGTGTCCCGGCCGTATCCCAAATGGACCGAGGTAAGCTCGCTGCCATATCTGGATGCCTGTGTCCTCGAAGCACTCCGGGTACATCCTCCATTCGCCTTGCCTTTCGAGCGCGTCGTTCCCGAGGGCGGCGTCACAGTGCTGGGCCACTTCCTGCCCGCAGGCACCATTGTCGGGGCCAACCCATATGTCACCAACCGATGTAGGAAGATGTATGGGGAGGATGCCGAGTTCTGGCGTCCGGAACGGTGGTTGGAGGCCGATGCAGACCACAAAAGGAAGATGGAAAACGTCATGCTTACGGTGAGTCAAAGGTTGTGAAACCTTACCAACGAAGGACCTGCGCTTCAACCGCGTCTACTAACCCAGCCGTCATAGTTCGGCGCTGGCAGGCGTATCTGCCTGGGACGGTACATTGGAATTTTCGAGATCAAGAAGATTGTACCGTTTCTAGTCCTCAACTACGAGGTTTGTCGTGCTCTGTCTGATGGAGTTCCGGCACTGACCACGAGTCCACGTAGATTCAAGCCATCGATCACACCACATTCAAGGCGGAGAATTACTGGTTCTTAAGACAGAGAGGGCTGTACACCCAGATACAGAAGCGGCGTAGTAAGAGCACACCGGAAACTTGATGACAATTCGTATCAAGAAAACAAGAAAATCCAACAACTGAACACTGAGAGAGCGTAGTGACCCAGGCGGCAGCAGTTTGCTGGTGACTTCTTTGCACGATTCCCAGGCCCGTTATGAAAAAAGAAAATACATCGTCGCTCAACAAGTAGCAGTGCCATGGAAGTCCTATCATGTCAAGGTTCCCTAGCTTAGAGTGTCTTATGACACAAGAAACTAGTTGATTGTACAATCTGTAGTTACTATGAATTCAAATTAGGCAGCCAAGTGGTCACCTCCCAACTCTTCCGAGATTGCAATCGACAGCAATATAGTTGCTCCTGTTCAAACCCTGTCATTGCGTAGACCCAGCAGCGGTGCTTGCCTTGGACTCTTCGAGCCCTCGGACGGCAAATCCAACTCGGGGCTGTTTTTCTACTTTCCTCAGACAGCTAGAAGCTATTTTGGAAGAGATTACACACTATTGCAGCCACCATATTCCGTGTACGAACTTCAAACTTCCCCTCCAGTACAGTAGCATGTTGACCAACAGGCTAATCACGGCATCACGCTCAAGTCTGAAAGTCAAGGTGTGTCCGAAACGCCGCCGAGACCTAACGCTCGTTTCCTTGGGTCTTCCAGAACCCAACGATTGTCTCCTTGAACGACTTGCTTGCCTGCCGAGGGTCTGGGTTGTTGTCCTTCTCGGCAAGTGGCAGTCCATCAACACCCACATTGGTAACAGCATTCTGCTGCTTGCCCAGGTAGAAGTTGCTCATAAAGAACGCGGCAACCAGCGGGACGAACGCGAGCCCCAGCGCAGGGGCGAGGAGATAGTACAGGGCGTTCTGGTAGGCTTCAATGGCCCCTTTCTTCATGTCGCTGTCAAAGTCATAGGCTGTGCGAAGCTTTCTGATGTTGTTGAAGAGGGTTTTCACATCCTTGTCCGAGGCTCTGGCAGGAAGATACTTGCGAAGCTGCTTTGGCATTTGGTTTGCCCAGACAACCGAGGCAATGGCACTTCCGATTGCCATACCAACTCTGGACCACAGAGCGAGCAGCGAGATAGTGAGAGCCACGTCTTGATGTGGAACACTGGCCTGAGACGCCACGCGAGTTCCGACCACGGCCATGGAACCGCCGCCGCCGATGAGAAGCTGCGTCATGACCAAGGCCCCGGTGCTGACAGTCGCCTTGTGGCCGTTGAGCATGATGCCCATACCAAGCACCTTGATGCAGAGGCCGATAATGCAAATGGTCTTGTATCGATGCGTCCATCGCTGCAAGGCGCCAGCCAGAGGGCTAAACACGCAGAGAGCAAGGGTAAGGGAGTTGTTGTAGTAGACCCAGTTCTGATAGCTCCACGGCTTCGTAATGTAGACATACGAGGACCAGTACAGGCCTCGCATGCTTGCGGAAACTGAGAACTGGGCGTCAGTCATGCCTCCGTTGAGGGTGGGAGGAATGGTGTCGGATGTTGAGTTGGACCTACCGAAATACGAAGCCTCAATGATCACACAGACAATGAAAGTCTTGTTTAGCATCAGCCGCTTAGGAGCACTAGGCATGGCCGCCCACTTGACTTCATATATCACGTACGCAATCAGCAGCACTCCGCCGACCACAAACATGGCGATGAGTGACGGGTTGGCCCATCCATTCTGCGCATATGTTTTTAAAGAGAATGGGAGTAGGAAGAGAGTCCAGCCAAGGCCAAGCAACAATAGACCAAAAGCATCAATCTCGATCAATCCCCGGCGAAGCTTCTTAATCCAGCTGCTTTCGGGCATGGCCATTGTCGCCGTGTCGACCTTGATCTCAGCGCGGCCAATCTGATTTGCGGCTCCCTTGTCTATCCGTTGGGATTCGCTGCCGGAAGCGAGACTCACCGTGCCGGCCTTCTTCGCTTTTCGATCGAGGTAAATCAAGGTGGCAATGGCTGGGCACACAGCCGCCGGCATGATGATGGCAAACATTCCGTAGCCCCTGAGACACAGATTTCAGTATTAGACATTGCCCAGTACAGGGACACATCCAGACATACCATCTCCACTGGTTCCTGGATAGCATGGCCTGTACAATCTTCCCTGCAAACCACGTGTTGATGATGAATGGCGTGGACAGCAACGCCCCAAGGAAGCCTCTCCATTCCAGCGGCGTCAGGTCGGCCACAATGATGTCGTTGACGAGGTCGATTCCGGAACTGCCCAGGGCGACAAATGCCTCTCCGACCACGTATGCCGAGATGGATTGCGAAGTTGCCGCGACGACGTAGCCGACGACGTAGAACGCCAGCGCCACGACATACGTGTACGGTCTGCTCGTGATGTCGGAGACCTTGGCTATGAACGGCTTGCTGACGGCGCTAAGAATGCTCGTGACGATGCCCAGAATGGAGAGCACCGTGCTGTGCTGGCGGTAGTAGGACGAGACGTCGACCGAGTAGTGCTGGGTGGTTGCAAAATCCAACGAATACGCCCAGGCGCAAACGAGGACCGAACCGCCGACCAGCCACAAGCCTTTCTTGTATGTCTTTGTGGAGCGATAAATGGCCTCCATGCGAGTTACACCCTGTGACTGAACTACGGTATCAGCCGATGAGGTTGTCGCTTGGTCTTCATTCTGCTGCCTTGACCATGTAATATCGCTCCCTGGAGGACTTTGGCTCGTCATGATGCACCAAGTTGCTCGCCAAGCACGCTGCTCTCAAGAGATCCTCGGGATGTAGAAAACAAAGTCTTTGTCGCCGGTTTCGATTTGGAAAGGAGAACGAAGCAGGAGAGCGGCGATTTGCCGTTGTGCTCCTAGACTTGACCCGATCACATCCGTCACATGATACATACATATACCGCACACTGTCTTGTGCATGACGCTGAAGAATGAATTTTCCCTAACCCGTGTTTGAGTAGACGGTGGGACGCTAGGAAACGCTTCCGTCGGTCTTCCTCCTTCGCTAATTGCCGATTCTAGGATGCCTTGCCACAAGTGGTCCGAGACTCCGAGGGCTTCCACGATCTAATCTAATCCATCAGCAGCTGACCAACAGCGTTGGCTTGTCATCGGATGATGGACGTGCGTTTGAACCCAGATAAACCAAAGCTGGCCTCGCTTCTGCCGGAACGTGACAGGTCCGCGGCCCCTTCCGTTGCTTGGTGCCTGTCGCCACTTTGTGCAACCTTCGGCTCGGAGTATTCGAATCTACTTCCCTTGGGTAGTCATGTGAAGATCAAGGGGAGCTCGTCACGGAGCTCGCCAAGTCCCCGGTCGACAATGGGCCACCCGATACTCCGTAAGTGGGTGGCAGGAATAAGCGAGGATTTTAGGCAACGCCGAGTTGGGTCAATTTATTGACCAGGTTGAACTGATATGCAGTAAGTAGCCTGATGTTTCTCCGGAACTGCAGTCGTCTCTCTGGACATCAACCACTCGCAATAAGTCCCATGTTATCCACTGCGACCTGCTTAATCAGGTAGTCCGTTCTGGATCCTGAATCATCCAACATTCAATCGCTGTTGTGGATGCTGTTTTTGATGCTTTCCGCCAGGTAGAAAGTATCCTTTGAGCCCAACCCAAGGAGGAATTGAGGAAGAACAGACATGGTGCTAGACTCTTTGAAAAAAACAGATAGATACTTTGTTCAAAGACGCTCCGCACTGTCCTACACGAACAGCCGGATTCCCTGACTGATCATCTGGTTCACTTCCAGAGAAAACGATGCAGAGTAGCCACCGCAATTACAATTCCCGACGAGTTGATGCCCAACAAGACGGAAACATGACTACACTCCACAGTAATTATAGTCATAACTTGCCGAGGAAACCCATCAACGCATACCGGGATTCCGCCGAGTAAAGAAACTCCGGGTCACGATAAGGTACGAATCGAATGTGTCACCAGCCTTGTTTTCTATTGTACGGCTTTGTGCGGCATATTTGCAGCATAATGACTTGCCTCGTAAACTCTACTTAAACGGAGATGACCCAAAATATATCCCTTTTCCCCATCACGAGTAAACCAAAAACGACGTACAGTCATGTCTGAGATTCTCGTCATCACCTGCCCCGGCGGCAAACAATGCTCACGCCTGATTCCGCTGCTCTACAACAAGGGAAAATTCCAGCTTCGACTGGCAGCTCACTCCTCAAGGTCTGCCCAGAAGCTCAAGAGTCTCTATCCCGATGCACAAGTTGCAACGGTGGATCTCCAGTCCCTTGAGGAGTGCACAAAGTTGCTTCAGGGCGCCGTGGCGATCAATGCTGTGCTGCCAAGCCTGCACTCCCATGAGAAGGTCATGGGCTTCAACCTGATCGATGCTGCGGTTGCCGAATCGAGGCGCGAGGGCAACGTCTTCAAGCATTTTCTCTTCTCTAGTGTTCTTTCAACCCAGCATAGAACGTTGTTGCATCACGACCTCAAAAGCCACGTAGAGGAACATCTATTCTTGAGTCCAATCACCTGCTGGACAATTCTAAAGCCAGTAAACGTCAGTTTCTCCGAGACTGGCCGCTGTCTCCATCACGTCACGGGACGCATGCGCTGACTTGTTCCAGTTCATGGACACGTTCCCTCTCGCAAAGCTCGCCGCCCAGGAGAAGCCGGTTCTCGACAAGTGGTGGTCGCCAAACTCCGCCAGCAGCCTGGTCTCTCTGGATGATCTGGCCGAGGTGTCAGCCAAGGTTCTGAATGAGCGAGAGCGGCACTACTTGGCCGAGTATCCCCTCTGCTCAACAACGCCCATTTCAGAGACTGAAGTCGTCAACTTGGTTGAAAAGCGCATCGGAAAGCGGATCGAGGTCAGGGTTCCATCTCTAGAGGCTGGATCAGACAGGTTGATGGAGCGCCTGTACGGCGACAAGACTGGACAGATGGGGAACGAGGGCGATCCTCGCGGTGACTTGGTCCGCGACACGGTCGAGCGCCTCATTTTGTATTACAACCGTCGTGGTCTGCAAGGAAGCCCCAACGTCATGACGTGGCTCTTGGGCAGGGACCCTACTTCGGTTGAGCAATGGATTGAGAACGTCTTGTCTAGTCCTGCTTGAGCATATTATTGACGCCGGCTTTGCGTATGTGATGAAGGACCAGACAATACACGGACAAGGTCGAGTGTGGATTTCAAGCCAAGTTCAGAATTAACAGCTTTGGTAGTCTCGCTTGCGGGTCCGTGTACATGATTGTATATGTAACAGCAATGAGTCTTGCGGATGAGCCATTACAGGCAGGCTAATATAACCCCCATACCATCAAATGCATATTTGATGACTGCTCGACACGAAAACGATAAGTAGGACAGACACTTCGGAGGTATCATGCATAGGGCAGGTAGGAGGACCGGTCAAGTGTCAAAAAAATGGATGCTTTGACGGCTTAAGCAGGGTCAGCAACAATTTCATACCAACTCATACCCTAGACGCTCCCAGATCTTCAATCAGATTCCATGTCATGGTAGTCATGAGCGAAACTTTCGCAGGTGTTACTGCCTCTGGGATAGTCAAAGATAGGTGCGACGACTCGATGCGTATGTGTGAATGAAAATATTCCCATGTACTGTCATTAAATATGCGGTATCAAAAGACGTCTTTACCACGGTATTTTTGTCATGAACATCGTGCGCATGGTTGCGACTTAGAAGACGGCATCAAAGCCTTACAACTTCGTACACTAACAACAATAGCAATGCACCTCGTTCCTTCGCGAATCACAGTCGAGTTTGACTTGGGGTTCACTCGAAAGGCTCAATGTCGGATATTTCCTTGGCCTGTATTTTGGCCATCTTGACGCGGTGGGCGTCATCCGCACTGACTGATTCCTGCATTTCGTGACGGCGAAATCGTTGATGCAGCCCCTTTCGCCAATGACACTACTGGTCCTCCAGTGAATATCTTGCGGCATAAAGTAATTACATTGACTCACTTTGCCGCCTCTGTGCTGATCTTCGCTGACCGCGGTTGTTGTGAGTTTGGCGCACTTTGGCTCGATTCGCATATAGAATGTCTTTGATTTTCAAAAAGATCTTTGTGGCCAGAGGCTTCTATTTACGCAGCTGCCTTTTGCCCTAGGTCTTGTGACTATAGCTCCTGTGTCACCAACATCCGTGTGACAGTAATAGTCGATCAACGGCGACCAATACCACCAAGGTTAATTAAAGCTATGAATAAGCACGAGACATGCTTCCAGTATAAGTGGCTTTTCTCCTACAGACGAACGAACTGTCGAATGTAGACTAGTAACTACCAGGCCGCTCTGTGCCATGTTCCATTCCACCGCAAGCATGCCTCCAAGTAGATTTGTTAGTCCTTTGCGCGCCACGCTAGAGCATCACCTACCGTAGGGGACGGAACGATGATGCCGAATCTGTCATCGCGAAATATTCCGACTACTTACCCGGACGAGACTATCATCCTGAGATGAACATGTACCTTGGCTAGTTCAAGGAATACGGCTACGAGTGACGGTGGCAACGGTTGCACGTTGAAAGGGCCGAGATTAGTATCAAGGCAAGCTGCTCCGACGGATATTATCCTGTAGCTGACAGGAAGAACAATTTCCTCAAATGATGGAGTTTCATTCATGCATCATCCTTACTGTTTGGGGGCCAAGCAGCTTTGCAAGATGGAACCTATCTGCCTTGCAAGTGTCGACCGCATGTCTGTTGTCTATATTGCCACAGGTGTCCATTAGGCAACAAGGATTATAAAAGCCACGGTGCTTTTCGTCTTACCTAAGGAAATACACAAAACTCGGACGCAGTCTTTTTCCAATATACAATATACTCTCGTAACGGAAGCCCACCTAGCTGCGCTGGTTCAACGAGTCAGATGAGTCGATGTCGACTGCGCACGACGCCTTACCACGCACCGCCAGACCGGTGTCTATCAGCCATCACCGAGCTTGACCAGACAGAGCATCTGTTCGATGTAATGATGACTACTCTAGAGAGCCGCACTCATAGGGCGACGTCGCAACTTATCCGAAGCAGTTTCAGGCCAGTTCGACTGACGGCAGAATCGGGGCAATGCTCGCGACATTGCAGCCACAGTAGAATGACAAATGCATGAACCAACATGACCTTTTTCTCTCGGCTAGCAAGCCAGGAACAAGTCACCAGGTTTCCATGTCTTTAAGATGCAGCCACCATGTCCGCGTGGCGGCGTTTCGACTGCCACACCATCATGGGCTGGCAACGCCATATCAAAAGGCCCGCACGGCACCTTTTCCTGCCGATTTTCCTCGCCGGATTCTCCCACAGCTGTGCGGCCCAGTAATCACTTCCTCGACAGTCGTCGGATGTGAAAGAGGTGGCCGCAATCAGATGTGTGGTGTCGTTGGTCTGCCATTTGGCGACGTGAAGCGTTCGTTCCCGGCGCTGAGTTGGCGCCAATGGCCGTGGGAGTAGATGAGCCTTTGGGTTATGGAATTACGTCACTAACAATGGTGATGGCTGAAGTGTCGGCCAAAATTCAATGTGCAATTCGCCTCCTCGAGCCTACCGTTCCGGTTTCCACAGGAACGACCTGCGCCTTGATCGGCTCACGATGCGCGCCAAGAAGCATAGCCTTGGCATCAAACTCAAATCCGAAGATTTGTGCCAGGAGAATACGGACGCGCCAAGCGGTCGAGGCCATATCGCGACAGTTGGGGAGTAACTGTATGTTGCATTTGACGCTTGCGACCTAGGCCTCGACGCAACTGGGGTCCAACGGGGAGGCACCGAATTCGAAATGTACTTCTCGTCTCTGCCCTTTCCCTTTGTATAGTTCAGTTCAAGGTTCTGCCTTGTAGCTGACGCTGTCGTGCTCGCTAGCTGCAGCACAAGACCTGATAAGAGCATACCGCCACGGACGGTCTAATGCCAATATCATGCCCGGATCACGCTAGTTCAAAGCCACCAGGGACTTTTTGCGACGAGTCCTGGCGCCCAGACAGCCCTGCCTCTTCTTGGGTAGACTTTCCCCAAGCTGCAGCTTGACTCGAACAGGAAGCTCTCTTTGGATAGCCGGCAACAGTGGGCGATTGTGGAAGCGTAGCATGAGGAAAAGCCCGCGTGGCGTCGAATCGCTACACAGAATGCACTTATCGGTTTGTTGGCTAGACGATGCCTGCGCGGGTTTAGTTTCACAGGTCGCCAGAACTTATGCTTCAAGATGGTGCAGATATAAATTCCAAAGTAAAGGTTGTCAAGGAAGACAAAAGGATCACACAGCGCAACTCAGTGATTAGCGGCGAGGTTGGAGTCTGATTTCAGCCATTTTCTCTGTATTTTTCATTTCTTTTTTATTTTTACTTTTTTGTTGTGTGTGTGCTCTTGTTTTTCGAATTCCGACGCAGATCTTGGACCCAGAGCCAGCGCCATCCCGTCACGCAATCATGGGTACGCATCTTCAGTCCCAGACTTGGCCTTTGTTGTTTCATGGAGCGGGCTGACACACCGCTCCCCGTAGACGTAGGAAAGGAACCGCCCGTCGAGGCTCAGCCGGCCCCTGTGGCCGATGAGAAGCGTAATCCAGGCTCCGTCAATGAGCTCGACGTCGTTAACGAGCGTGACCACGGTCACAAGGATGTTGCTATCCTGAGAAAAGACTACGAGGACAAGCCGACAGAGGAGGAATTCGAATCCCTTCGACGCGTTCCTGGCAAGATTCCCGTTGTTGCCTACCTCCTCTGTGCCGTTGAGTTTTGCGAACGCGCCTCTTACTATGGTAAGTTGCTGGCACAGATGGTGTTGAACTCATGACAATGCTTATAACAAAACTTCTCTAGGCTGCGCCCAAATCTGGACAAACTACATCAACAGACCTCTACCCAAGGGAGGAAATGGCCTGGGTGCTGTGGCGGCCGGGAGTCAGAGCACTCAGGGTGCTCTGGGCATGGGGGAGGCTGTCGCCGTGAGTTTCCAAGTTGCTCGTTTGCACGAGACGCCTTTGCCGATGCGGACCAAGGGAGCTCCTGTTCTCGGCATGTACTAACAGGATCATGGGTGACAATAGAATGCCACCACTCAGTCGTTCAGCCTACTTGCCTACTGCCTCCCTCTCCTGGTCGGATATCTCGCCGACACACGATTTGGCCGATACCCCATGATTTTCTGGGGGGTCATTATCTGTGGCATTGGGCACGTCCTCATTGTGGCAGGCGGTGCAAAGGAACTCATCGCCAACGGCACTGCCAAGGTCCCCTTCTTCCTTGGTGTATATATCCTGGCCATCGGGGCTGGTGAGTGGCTCTTGGATTCGTCGATTTGTAGCGTCCACCGACTGACGTGGCTGTAGCAATGTTCAAGCCCAACGTCACGCCGCTGCTGCTGGACCAGATGAAATCTCACGTGCCGAGAGTGATCACGTTGAAGTCGGGCGAGAGGGTGATTGAGGACCCTGAGCACTCGACCGAAAGAGTCATGCTCTGGTTCTACCTCCTCATCAACCTTGGCGCCTTCATGTCCACAGCAACCTCGTACGCAGCAAGACATGTAGGCTGGTGGCTGGCTTTTCTGCTCCCGCTGCTTCTCTATCTCCCGCTGCCGCTTCTCCTGTTGTGGCTGAAGCCACGTCTCATTCTGCACAAACCCGGCGGCTCTGACCTACCCAATGTTTTTCGAGCCCTCGGCCATGGTTTGGCCAATGGCGGCATCTTGAGAATTGGACGGACGGGATGGTGGGAAAATGCCAAGCCGTCAGTCAGAGCGCAAAAGGGGCTGTCGCCCGAGACTCACTACAGTGATGAGTTTGCCGTTGATGTGCAGCGAACCATGCAGGCAACTGGCATGTTTTGCTTCTTCCCTGTGCAATACTGGAATGACAATGGGTATGTGTGTGCGGACTCGTCTTGGCTGAATTGCCAAAGCAGATTACGGCTAACGACTCTGGGAAATCCAGTCTTGGAAACTCGGCCAACTACTTGGGTACTATGCTTACGGGCAACGGTGTTCCCAATGATGTCATTGGCAACTTCAACCCCCTCAGTATCATTCTGCTGGGACCCCTTCTCAATGTAAGTTGTTGAGTCTGGCGTCGTTCTCGGCCATTCGAGTCTCCATCAGCGCTCGACCTTGGTCAAGTATTGACAGGTGATTGCGCAGTACGGGCTGTACCCCCTCTTGCGCAGAGGCAGGATTCACTACGGCCCTGTTGCCCGTATCTGCACTGGGTTTTTTCTCAGCACTCTTGCAGGTATCGGGTACGCCGTGCTCGCCTACAAGGCGTATCAAACGTCCCCCTGCGGCTGGTACGGGTCCTCAGACCCTTACTGCGTGGACGACGGTCTGGTCTCACCCATTTCCCTGTGGTGGGAGGCCATCCCGTACGCTTTGGGAGGGTTTTCCGAGCTCTTCATCAACGTACCAGGTAAGCCGCACAACCGCCGTCCGCCCCCTTCGCCGTATGCTAACGTTGTGCTGGCAGCCTACGGCATCGCTTACTCGCGCGCTCCTGTCAACATGAGAGGTCTAGTCTCGGCAATCAATCTCTTCAACACAGGCTTTGCCTACATTGTGAACCTGGTTGCCTCTGCCGCTATCGCCGACCCTCATCTGATCTGGGACTTTGCTGGACCAGCCATCTTGGGAGCCATTGTTACCGTTGGCTTTGTACGTTCGAATCCCCCACTTGATCGCCTCTGGTGCTAACATGGCTGTAAGTGGTGCATCTTCAGGCACATAGACAAGGAGGAATACGTGCTTTCCACCACCCGGACGAGTGAGGCGGCGGAAGCTGAAGTTATCGAGGATAGCGAGGCGGCACCGACACGCCGCCACTGACCTTTATGGTTGCACATGTTTAAACGTTCTGTACGCACTGTAGCAAAATGGCATGCGATTTACCCAGACATTGATCCAGGAATTCACGTTGATGTGAGATGCAACACAAAGCCCCCTTCCCCACGAGGCACTGGCGCCAATGCGCGACGGTGAATCGAACCAAACAAATCGCGTCTGCTCACCCTGAAGCGCAAATTGTCTGGTCGGGCCAATGCTCGCCCTTGCCCTTGACTCTGGTGTCCTGCACCTCGGATCTCCGAGCAGTCGAGCCTCGAGAGAAGCCAGTCTCTATCAACACCGACGGCCCGGTCCCGACGTCCCGCCGACCGACGGCGTTTCTCGACGCTCCGGGGAGAAGTTGCCTCATTAGGAAATAAACCTGCCGGCTGGTCCCTGATTCATCGGGTTCCGAGTTGGACCAGACATCAGACATCATCAACACGTCAAACAAGGCACCGCGCCTTTAGCGATGCACGACATTTCTCCGAGACCCATGTTCGGGGTTTAGGGTTGCAAGCCCAATTCTGACGTACTTGAGTGCCTGCTCTGTCTCAGCTTGCCTCACTTTTCACAACAAGTCGCATTATCCTCATCCCCAGCGCCGCCATTTCTCCCATCCAAAACTCGCCATGTCTTCTGCAGTGACCACCTCTGTCGTCGCGGCACTCGCCGTCGCTTGCGCCTCCCTGTTGATTGCCGCATACCGTGATTACCGCGCCTACATTGCCTTTGGCCCTCACGGGCTGCCCGACAACTTCCGCGGATGGTGCACACAACTCTTGTTGTCTCGCGTCTCACGCAAAGACACCACTGTGCCCGCGCCCTATGACATGGAAGTCGTCAAGAAGTCCTGTGGGCCAAACGCTTCCACGTCCTATCTCGCCAGGCCCTTGGCAGCTCGCCGGGGTCCCAGGCCAGAGATCCCCGGCTTCACCGCGCCCCAGCGCCAGGTGACCGCCACCGCGTCCTCGGATATGAAGCTCCAGATGGACGCGTACCTGAGGTCTTTGACAAGAGCAAACGACGAAACCATCCAATTCGAGCTGTCGGTGCTCGAGGGCCCAGTACCTGCCGTTCAATTGAAGAAGGGCCTGGAGAGACCCCATTATCTGGACAAGACCAAGGGGGAGATGATCCACGTTCATCCCCCCGATGGCAGTACGCACCTTCTTCTTTCCCTGGCAGATTCCAAGGCGGTCATCGAGACAGGCTGGGGCCAGAGGCACAGACTCAGCGGTAGCCTTCTCGGTTGGGGCTATACGCTCATCTACGCGCCTCGGTCCCAAGCAGACTTTGAGACTTGGAAGGACATGGTGTGTGCGTCGGTGGGCTACTGCTGCGCCGAGATCTCCGCTATTCAGAGCCCGTTGAGCGGAGGGTAATGGGAAATCGCACCGCCTCGACATGGACGGGAGCGCAGGCAGAGACGAGAGCAAAACGACGGACAGCTAGTGTCGAAACCATGCGGAAGGAGTCGTAAGGAATCTTCTTCTTGTCAGAACGCGGCAAGGGAAGCGAGTCATGACTGGGCTTGGAATAGGGTCATTGGCATCCAATCTAATGATCAGCTTGAAGAGAGACGGTTCCTGGTTCATTCTGAAGAGCCCAGGCCCAAGACGTTTGAACGTGCGTGATGTTTAGATATTTCTGAAATTAGCAAGAATATAGGACAAGCATATGCCCTGATATCCTGGGGCATCCAACTGCGACGTCCTCATAGTCGTGTTTGGGAGGGTAAGCAATACTTGTAACGAGGCACGAATCGTCCAGGTCTCGAAACGGAACGTACAACAAGCCAATGGCAGTCTACTGACGACATGGAATGAGGTTGGAAACGTTGCGTGGACATGGCTAAAAAAAGCCCACTGCCATGAATAAAGAAGAGACCAACGGCAGAAACGTGACTCCGAGCCGGCAACCCGGCATTGATTGTGATGCCGCCGTTTGAACTGCCGAGTAGCTCCCAATTGCAGCCAATTATAATTATTTCTCCCCGCACTGGGCCCCTCGGGGTTTTCATGGCTTGGGCATTGATTCTGGGCAGGGAAGAACATGGTTGATTCGAACAGCATCGAATTGCTAATCATGTCTAGCCTGCAGGCCATGTTCGAGGCCAGCCGCAGCAAATGATGATTTAATCTAGCCATTAGGGCTCTACATGCTTATCAGAATAGCCACCATGGGCTTGTTTCGGTACAAGTATGTCGAATGGATCAGAGGACAAGCCATTGGGCCGGGTTTCAAGAGGACGACGCCACGCTGGGAATGGGCGTGAGCCACCATGACGGGCTATGAGAAAAGCCAAAGTCCAAGTGTGAGTATTTAAACAAGTGCGGGGTTACGCTCCTCGACGACTGCGGCCGTGCTGTCATGTTCTCCGTATCATCCAACCGAGGTGGCATATGCAGGCGAAGCGACCTGGCTCGGTTTGTCTGATATATTGAGCCGCAAGGCCCATCCCCCGTCCGTCAGGCTTCGGCCGACGTCAGCAGCGCGTCGAATATGGAGTCCACCTCGTCGCGAATTTCAAAAAGCGCTTCCGTCTCGTCTTGGATTGGACATGGCGGCACGCCAGGAGCCGGCATAGACGGGCTCTCGAGTCTTGGCCGACTGGTAGACGGCCCATTGCTGGTTTACATTACTCTGGCCTTGGCATACCCTGTCTTATGCGCTCTCCTTCGTTTCCAGAGGCTCAAGGCTATGCGAGAGAAGGTCGGACTCACGGATCGCGAGTCCATGTCCAAGATGGAAACAGCTCAAGCCCAATATATTATCCAGCAACTGGTGGAATGGGAATTTCCGTTTGTTTTTGAAAAGTCGCTTCAGTTTGCTCTATTCAAGGTAACTTGATGACAGAATCTAGCCCCGAGACGCACAGTAGTTGACTTTTTGATGGATGGAACCTTTGCTAGACCTATGGGATCCCAACCATATCCACCCTACTTGTTGCCACACGAGTATTCAGCTCGCCCGAGACCGCTAGCAAGCGATATGAGGACACGGCCGTCCTCATCGGAGAGTTCATGACCCATCGTCCCGACGAGGAACGAACGCGCCAAGCAATAGGACGAATGAACTCCCTGCACAGTCCGTACATCCAGGCTGGCAAGATCTCCAACCAAGATCTCCTCTACACACTCAGTGTCTTTGTGACAGAACCCATCAGCTGGATTAACCGCTACGAGTGGCGCCAGCTCACGGATGTGGAGATGTGCGCCCTGGGCACTTTTTGGAAATCGATAGGAAACGCCATGAACATCCAATACGCCTGTCACCTGAGACGAGATTCCTGGCGGGATGGTATCGAGTTTTGCGAAGACATCACCGAGTGGGCTTCACAATACGAGTCGCAACACATGGTACCTGCTGCGGCGAGCAAACGAACCGCCACCGAGCTCTTTTCGCTGCTACTATACCACGTCCCCGACCTCTGCAAGCCGTTTGCCCTGCAGCTGATCGGTGTGCTCATGGGTGATTGTCTCAGGAAAGCAATGATGTAGGTTGCCAGTCCGCTTCCTCCCGCACCATCTTTCAGCCTCGCACGCGTTGCTGCCCTGCCTCGTGTCGCATTCGCCCGAGCCGCCGCCTCCTAGATGACTTACAAGGTTGTTTCGCAGGCACCCAGCCCCATCGCCTGCCGCTTTCATCATTGTCAACGGTGGCTTTTCCTTGCGTCGCTTCGTCCTGCGCCATCTGGCACTTCCACGGCTTGCCCCTCGGCGCTCGTTCTCGGAGAAGGACCCCAAGTCTGGACGTTACCATCGCCTCCAATACCTGGTGCATCCGTACTACGTAGAGCCCACAGTCCGCAGCAGGTGGGGAGTGTCGGCGTGGCTGATCTGGGCTCTTGGAGGGATTTTGCCGGGCGGAAAAGGGGGTGCCCGGTATGTCCCCCAAGGCTACCTGCTTTCTGACATTGGCCCGGATAAGCAGACGCCCTTTGGTCAAGACGAACTACGAGCTTGGGAACGCAAAGTCGAGGAGTCTATGCCTCTCGGGTGCCCTTTCGCCATCTGACCCAGTCAGCCGCCATATCGGAAGAGACGGCTGCCGTGAAGCGGATGCCAGACGATGCGAGCTGTTGCTCACACTATACGCCGGGAACTGGGCTCTGAGAAGACCGGCTGCCCCTTTGCCAGGGCCAGCGTTTTGTCTGTCCTTGACGCGTTGAGCTTCCATAGCCCCTGCCTGGGCGAGAATCCCCGGGTGCCGATCCATGACCTGGGCCGTTTCTTTTTGCGAATGCAGCATTGTGTACAGTCTAAAATTGAGCATCTAGCATTGTCTGTGTACTTGATAAGTTGGCCCACGACGCAATCACTAGAAACGGACAATGAACGTTTCCTTGTTACCATGCTTAGGTTTCACGACTTCCCACGTAGTCTACCATCCTGAAACGCTATCATGTCATCTACATGTATCAAGACTTGGCAATACACTTTGATCCAGTGGGTTGGATAGAAAACAAAGCTCTTTCCCGTCTTGTTTGGACGACCGAGATCATCAAGTACATTTGAGATTCATAGAAGAGTTTCTGGTGGTTCACGGCGACAATACTCTGCAACAGAATGAGGACAAAGGCCGAGGAGCCAGTTTATAGGTTTAGGAGGCATGGGTGACTGCTTACATGGTCCAGAATATCAAAGCGAGCTCACCACTCCGAAGCACGAGGTCAAAGGATGAAGTAGTGGGGGAGCTAGGAGATGTAGTCGAGCAGCTAAACTGCCAGACACTAAAAGGACACTACATATTCTGAAGGGACGGCATAGAGCAAAGGAGCTGAGATAACAGGGCAGCAGAGAGCAGTTGCAGGGCTCAAAACTCTGACTTCCATCGACTTGGTGGCCCGTACTCTTTCGGCGGCCCGTACTCTTTCGGCGGCCCGTACTCTTTCGGCAACAAGATGTAGGTCATGTTCCCAGCAATCGCCTTGGTCAAACAGAGCCGTTCGCTCAAAGACAAAGCGGCTCACCATGCCACATGGCCACTATCTATCCGAAAGTCACACCCGTCATGAAGCTGCTTGCGTCGCTGATGAGAAACACCGCAGCGCCTCGACGCTCACCTGGATGACTGCCACGTCCTTTAAGCCAACGAGTCGTCCTGGGCATGCGCAATTTCGGCCATGATATTACTGAGCTCGTGGGCATTCCCGACGTCGCTCGGCGGTGTCGGGGCCAGATCCGGATCGTCAACTGGCAATGTTTCATCGATACAGTGTACTGTGTGTCGACGGAACATGAATCGTCACACCATGTCGTCTGTCTGTTTGATTTCGACCCGCACGAGAGGCGGTGATGATGCCGTGCCCTTTGCGCCGGCGCCAACCAACGCTTCGAGTTGAGCAAGACCAAGACCTCTGGCGCCTCCAGGAACGATGACTGCCTTCCTAGGGCCACTGACGCGTTTGCTCGACGAGCCGACTGACTCGCCGGGCACAGTCTTATCAGTGAAACAGGGCGATCATCACAGCCACCAGTGCAGTACAATGTCTGCACCAGGTTGCCGCCGCGATTGGTCTTTGACAGAAGCGGACAGGGCACGAGGTAGCATCCGATGAGTTTTAAGTCGTGAGCTAGTCCGGGCTCCGGGGCTGGGCTGTTTCGTGACCCTGGCCTGTGGTGACGGCGAGGCCCCGACCACGTTTATGACTCTGAGAGCTGTTAGGGGGAAAAGTAGAACAAGTCATATAACCTAGGGAAATAAGGGGCATTATTACGGGGTGGACTTAATTATAAAAACCTAGAGAGAATAAGTATTAATACAATATAATGCTTACTAACTAGCATTATATTTTAGTGATAAGACTAGGACTTCTTTTTTTCTTCTTGTTGTTAATTGCTCTATTGCTGCTATTTAATATAGACGAAATTAAGAAATACTATAAATAAACACAAACCCCTAGAATAAATAGTATATATATATATATTAGTAAATATAGATTAATAAGAGCAAAAATAAAGATATAATATATATAATATAATAAGAATAAATAGAAAATAAACTTACAATAAAATAATTAAGAAATAATAAATTAAATAGAATTAATTTATAAATACCTAAATTTTAATTAATATAAATATATAGATAAGTTATCTCTAGAACTTTAAAACTATAGAATTAAGAATAAAAGAAGAAAGATAAGGGAAATTATAAATAATATAAAATCTTAAAACTATAAAGTTAAAATTATAATAAGAGAAATTAAGACTTTTTATATATATAGAACTTTAAATATAAAAATAAACTTTTAGAGTTAATATATAGAATTATAAAACTATAGAATTAAAATTACAAAAGAATATAAATAGACTTAAAGTATAGAGATAATATATAGAATTATAAAACTATAGAATTAGAATTATAAAAGAATACTAAAGAATTATATATACTATAAAATATAAGAGAAATTAAGTAAGAATAGTTTTAATAAAGAAACTACTAGAAATAATACTACTAAGATAAACTAGAACTAGAAACTAATTAAAATAAAAATTAAATATATATAGATATATAACTAAAACTCTTAATTTAAAATAAAGTTTATAAATACTCTTTAAAAATAGAGAAAATAATAGTTAGAATAAACTATTAGTACTAAATAAGCTATAGAATCTAAGGAAATATATAAATAATAGCTAGATATACTATAATAAAATACTACTTTATTTAACTTTAAGAATAATTTAAAAGCTATAATAAATATAAAGAAATAGTATAGTAGTTATTACTATTAAAGACTTAAGCTTATTAAAGCTATTAAATAGCTTTAAATATATAAAATATATAACTTATATAATATATATAAATATATAGAAGATATAATAAATAATATATAATAAATTTATAAAGGCAAGAGGAATTAATTATAATAAAGAGTTTAAAGAGAATAAATTACTATTTAGTTTAATTATAATTATTTATATATTACTAGTATAAATAGTTATAGCTGCTAGAGTTCTAGTTAGTAGTTATAACTACTAGAGTTCTAGCAATAAGCGCTAGAGTTATAAATCTAGAGAGGTAGTTAAGAGAGCTACTAAATACTAATAAACTAGAGTTTAAACTTATAGCTCTAGAGACTTCTTTATAGACTTACTTTAAAGCTAGAAGTAATAGTTTTTATATATAAAAAAACTCTACTTAACTAATAAGTATATAGACTACTTTATACTATAGTTACTCTACTTTTAACTTATTAGAAATATTTAATTAGTATTTAATTTAGTAGGCAATAAAATAGACTTAATTATAGTAGAATTTAAAAAGAAGTTAGTAAATTAAATAGAGATAGAAAAGAATAGTTAGTAATTCTAGAAAGTAGTAATTAGAAAGATAAATAAATATAGTTTTCTTAACTCTTATTCTTTAAAAGAAAAACTTATACTTAGATTTTTCTTCTTTTAGACTAAATAAGAAAAAACAACTTAACTAATAATAAACCTACTTTACTTATATTAATATAAATATAATAAAGACTATTATAATTCTAAGAATTATAGTAATATTATTTCTATTTTATAACCTTCTTCAGTTTGTATACTATCTACTAGCTTTAAATAGACTTATTTAGGTTATTTTAACTCTTCTTAGAAAATACTTTTAATTTAATTCCCTTTTATTTAATAAAAATAAATATCTACTTAGAAATATTTAAAAAACCTTAAAATATAACTCTTTTCTATATTATATAAGTTAAATATAGAATTATTAAAGTTAGACTTAAGTTCTAATTATTCTTTAATATAGATTTTTATAAAAAACCTTTTCTCTAGCTTAATATATTCTTTAGAAGAAGTCTTACTAATATTCTTACTATTATTAATTAAGTTAAAAAAATAGTTATTATTTTTATTTATAGAAACTATAAATACTTTATGTTTTTATTTAATAGAAAGTATAGATAGAATTTTTTTTACTAAATACTCTAAGAATAAACTAGTATAAAATTATATTAATTACTATAATACTATAGTAGCTTTAGTAAGAGTACTAAAATATATAGAGACTTTAGTAAAAGTATACTTTACTTATAAGTTAAAAGAGAGAGTAGTAGTATAATATAAAGATTTAAACTATAAAGAATAAAAATAAAATATTTTTTTAGCTAAATTTATTAAAAAGTTTTCTAACTTAAACTTATATATAGAAGTTATAATAAAATAGAAGGTTTTCTATTTTACTAGAGAAAAAAGTAAATTATTAATAGTATATATTTAAAGAGCAGAAAACTTAGTATTAAAGGTAAAGATAAATATAAAATAAATTTTACTTATAAACTTTATTACTTATTTAGCTAATAGAGAAGTAGATAGTAAGTTATAAAAATAAGTATTTAATTACTTATTTACTTTAAATAAATAAATATAAAAAATAGCAGTAAAAAGTTTAATAATAGTAGACCTTAAGATTATTTTATATAATTATTAGTTATTTACTTTAGAGAAAATTATAAAATAGTACAAAGACCTAATTCTAGCTATTAGTATAAACTTAATATAAATATTAATAAACTACTAAATAAAATAAAATAAATAATAAGTAGAATAATAAGTAAAAAGAAATAAAAAGATATATAAGTTAATTAAATAGTTAAAAGCTTTCTAAGTTATATAAAATAACTTCTTTAAATTAACTAGACTATATAAATAATATAGAAAATCTAGTTATAATAACTAAAATATAAATTAATAAATAAAAGGAAATTATATAAACTTCTATAATAATAATAATTCTAGAAAAGAAGTCTTATTATTACTAGCTCTAGAGAGTCTTCTAAGCCTAAGAAATAATATTTAGAGAGATTTAGACTTCTTTTAGTATTTCTTATATAGTAAGTAGAGATATGTAAAGTATAGTTATAGAAGTTAAGATAAATACTCTCTAGAGAAGTTTAAGAAATAATATAAATAATAGCAATAGAATTTACTATAAATAAAGAGAGATAAATATTAAAAACTTAATATAAAAGTCTAGTTTAACTATATTAGTAATATAAAGTAGAACTAGTAGAATGC